TATTTAACTTTGAAGAAATTGACTGAAAATTAGCAAGGTACCCAACTTCTTTGAATTTTCCTGGGTTAGAAAGTCCCTCTAGATAGAGAATTTACAGATTTTGATATATTTTACAGACATTTGTTATTAATATGCAGTCAATATGTTACATTATCACACTGGCCATAGCTTTCGCAGAAGCGGTGGGTCTACCGGTGCGGCGATGGAGATTTCGTCGCAGAAGCGGTGGAAAAACATGGCTGTCGGATAGTTTTTTGCTGCTGTCGGTAAGTTTATGACTTATTTGTACGTTATGTTTTTATGTTCTACTGATAACACCTAGTGAGACTGGAGCCCACATATGTACTCTTCCAACTTATTACACGCATGGGGTGCAAATCATGACCAGTTATGCAAACACTTCTGTACGGTTTGACGAGGGCACGCCACTTTTGCCTAATTTTGTTTATAACACTACATATGTACTTAAAACTACCCCTAGATACACTGGCATCGCATCGTATGTATGATAATTACACAAAACAACCATATTTTGGAACTTTTGGAAATTGATATTACCATTTTAATAAAACCCGTACGAAAACTTCCGCCCTGAAAAAAGCAGAAATTCCGCCTAGCTACTAGGCGTAATCCGTCTAAGGCATTTCAGGTTTACATATCACAGATTCCTCCTATAAGCAGGAATACGCTGCGAAATATGCAAATTTTCTTAGGAGGAAAACAGTTAGGGTAGCAGGAAAAAAATCCTCCTTAGAAAATTTAACCAGGAAAAAATTCAGCTTAAAGAAAGCACTAGCAGGAGAAAATTCCGCCTTAGGAAAATTCTTAGCCGGAAAAAATTCCGCCTAAAATATTTTAACCAGGAAAATAAAACCTACTTAGAAAATCACTAGCAGGAGAAAATTCTTCCTAAGGAATACTAGCAAAAAATCCGCCTAAGGAAATGAAGTTATTCAATTTTGTGATAGTACACTAATAAAGCTGAATTATGGATGGATACAACATTATTTTTTAGCTGCATAAGAATAATTGGAATCCAAAATTGCAGACAGACAATAGGTGATCACAATTACAAAGCTTTTAAGTTATTTTTATGAGCTTTACCATAATGTTTTCTACATTAGGGTGCATGTACAGTACGTAAAAGAGTCACACAAAAAACAGAAACACGTCGGAGTTATATTTTTTATTGCACTGCTATTGTATTGTTTTAATCCATGGCAAATTATTTCATTTTATTTCACTGTAAATGTTTTTTGTTCAGCCAGTTGTTTTCATTTTTATTCCAAGCATAACTGATCTGCTTTAACTTATGGTATCGTTAATAATTCCTTGTCCGTGACTCCTCCCCTCCCATTCTTTTTACACCAGCTTGAGACATATCCTGAAACACAAACAGTCATCAGTAAAACACTGCCACCACTAATATGTTATATTATTGTTTCTTGTCATTGTATGCAGTTATAAATAATTATACATGCATTTAAACTATAATTCATTACAACCAAACTTAGTGTTACAAATTTACTCTCAAACTTAATGCAAAATTATTTAATTTATTTGAAATATATTTTTATTGTTTAAATGTATCCAAAAGTTACTTACCTGAATTTTTATGATATTGGTATTTATCTTCTTATCCAAGGTCATAATGTAGCATTCAAAATTCATTTACAACTGAGCATATCCATATTATTGTCATTTTCATTCACAAGGCTAAGTCTTATTTTTTTTTCTTTGAAAAATTCAAAAATATTCAATCCTTACACTTTAAACAAAATATTATCTCAAAAATTGCTTATATATTATCACCACAATTTTTAACTATCAATAAAATCCTTTGTTATTTGCTTTATTTCCACTGTCTAAGCTTCTGCTGACCCATATTTCCTAGATTTCAAATTATGGACAAGTCCATGATATGATGGTTAACAGGGATAATCCAACCCATCGTTTTATTTTCACAATTATATAAAAATACCAGAAAATAAATGCAAAAAGAATCCAAAATTCATAATAAATATCTGTAAAAAAAACCTTTGCAAAGTCCTTCTTAACAGACTCGTCATATAAAATGTACAAAGTAACTGTTGCTTCCCCCCAAATAAATCACATGGAACAGTCTCAGTGTGGCCATACCACGTGACATTGACGTCATTTTTGGCATCATTTCCAAGACAAATATTGCTCGATTCGGAAAAGAAAATAGCCGTAAATATTTTATTTCTGTATCAATATCTTTGGGATATGCACCAGTCTACGGGGAAAAATATAAGCTTTCCACAGAATATTGGATCTTCGTCAGTTTATAAGCAGTTTTATCAAACACTTTGCATAACCTTGGAAGTTGCTTGTATTAGTGCGGGCTTCGGTTGCAAGTTATTTCGTTTTCTGGCGTTATTTGGTCTACGCCATGATTAATAGGTCAGGTTTACATCAATCGGGGGTACAGACAGCAAAATCCTACCTTAATATGTTTATATGGTTATTATATATGGCGTAAATCTTGCCATTTTCTTCAATTGTCAATTCTGGCACCAGTTCCAAGTCGAAAAAAGGGACTACAGTTTAAAGCAGAATTATGAATCTGTTGCAAATGCGAAGCAACATGCCTACCGTTCTCTCTTTATAATTATGTTAATCATAAAAACATTTGTTATTTACTGTACGATTTACATAAACACAAATGAATATTTAAATGATTTTTACTTGCTGCGCTATAACATGTATAAGTGTTTTTAAAAGTCGTAAAATTGTTGTCTGTACACATGTATTTGTAAAGAAATTGATTTGCTCTTTAATCATTGTTCTTTCACGGTAATGATTATGAAAACTCTATATGTGTCATGTAGCAATACTAAACGTATTCAAAATAGAGAGAAAACAGAAATCCAAAACGGCAAAATTGACTTAGCTAGAATGTCCAATGAACGTGCACAATCAGGATCACTTTCATTTTTATGTTGTAAAGCGTTATGCCTCAACGCGGCAATTTCAAAGTCAAGGGGTATTCTTTTGTAAAAGAGTTATTTATACGAATAACCGTAATGTTATAAACCTGTAGCAAGTATAATAGATTCAGCTTTTTAATACAGCGGCACTCGTTGATAAAAAATATTTTACATCTTGTTTTCATACCCACGGTAACCGTTTTTCGTGAAATGAATATAACTTAGTTCACTTAAGAACACTAAACACTATTTTATTATTGCAATTATTTCTGTTGATAAACTACATATCTGACAATTTTTTTAATTATATCAGTCAATCGAGCTTTATCAGAGAGCTCACCAATACGCATTGTAAAGAGAGGAAGGGAACGGAATATTTATGGTTTGAAAACATTTAAATCGAGTAGAATTTTTAACAATAATGTCTCTTCCAACTGAATAAATAAGATAGGGCTATTTGGGACTATTTCTTATCGATGTGGTCATTGGATGTAAATGCATGGATTATTGCACGCGGCATGACCTGCATATGTCCTTAACAGGATTTTTGTTGCATTTTAAGATTTAAAGAAGGACCACATATTAAAATCTAAGACATGATAAACATAATGCATATGCCAAATAAATGAATTATCTTATATGTGAATAAAGAAGTAAATAATTTGACAGTTGAAGAATAAAATTGAATATACTCTTCAAATGTAATCGTAATTTTACCTAGCTTATGTTAGCTATCAATAATTCAATGGACGCATCAGTGTCATATATGGACCCAGTCGTGTTGCTATTACATACATGTTAATGTAAATATTTATATAATTATTGATAATCAATGTTATGTCCGACTTTTAGAATGTTTTGTTTCAAGAAATTTGACTTTGACCGATGGCTGTTGGTTTGTAAAATCATTTATCTATTTACTATTTTCTACTTTGTTTACTCCACATGGCGTCCATTCTCGTTTTCTGTACGAAATCTGCCGTGGTCATAGTATTATTTTTACAATAGGTTTATCTCTTAGATTTGGTTTGCTAAATTGCTAATCATGGTCATGCAACTACATAGTTAGGTGAAGAAGCAGGCGCTTGTTTTGGTTGAGTCTATTATGTTTTGTTTAGGGGGTTGAGTTGTCATACACAAATTTACAATTTACATGCATTGATTTCCAATGATTGTTATTATCTTAAATGCTTCTGGGATTGTTTTTTATCAATTCATTTGTAAATATAAGATTGTTATATGTCTATTAACGGAATAATTTTAATGAACACAAAATTAGTTCACACCTACAATGAACATGTGTATTGGTAACGTGATGGTTTAAACCAATGAAAAACACGTCAATATTATTATACTCGTGCAAAGAGTAAATCGATAATCTTTATGTAGCCAGCAAACTTTGAATTGCAAGTATTTTTTCATATCTTTTCAGCAACTTTTCGAGGATTCATATCGTAAAATGGCTGCCATTTACAGTATCAAGTGATTATCCCAAGCACCACCGCGACTTAGCTCGGGAATTTTAATTAAGCTTACCCCGGCGCGTATACCTTTTTCATATTTTATTGTAATAAATATTTACAAACTGTGTCTTTCGGGTTTTTTTATCAAAATATAACCAATAATGAGGTTAATATGAATAAATAATCATATCTCAAATCTTTGACTATGATTTTATACCTTTAGTGTATTAAAAAGGTTTTTAATTTCCTGTAATTTTATTTTGTGATTATGCTTCAAAGCAGTCAATGACCGTGAATTTTCTTTTCATATTTTGATTTCCTTGAAATCATTTTTCTCATCTGAAGGCATGCAACTTTAATATGGTGATACATTAATTACATTCCATGAAAATGTTTAAAGATATAAAATATCTCATGACATGTTTGTTCATTTTACATTACAAATTTAATTCAACAAACATAAAGTCTTCACAAAAAGTAGTATGCAATCGTACCTATATTACATACGAATGTATGTAATATTTTTCTTGTTTATTGGCGACTCAGGGCTATTTTGGGCCTTTTTGATAAATAGTAAATAGAGAATCATAACCCAGCAAACACAAGACGTTATACTGACGTCAGATTTAAGTCAGGTTCTGACGTCGGATGACGGTCGGAAAAACGGTTGGATTTGAAAGTTTTTTTGACGTAATAATCTGACGTCAGGTAGACGTCAGAATCTAACCATTATTTAACCTTTTTCTGACCAAAATCAGACCATTATCTAACCATTTTCCGACCTCAATCTGACCATTTTCCGACCTCAATCTGACCATTTTCCGACCTAAATCTAACCAGTTTCTAACCATTTTCCGACCTAAATATTAACCCTTTTCTGCCCTAAATCTGATCATTTTCTGACCTTCATCTGATCATTCCCCTAATCTATTTTGTTTCACCACGTCATAAATATTTTCTGGCTAATCCTGATTTGATCGAATTAAATGTAACTCATTCTATTAAGTAACTTTCCCTCCAATGAAATGTATAACAGAAAACTAAAAGCAAAAATATGTTTTATGCTTTTTTAATTTAATATAAAAGTTGCAATTTTAAGCTGATACATACAATTTTAGTAAATTCTGCAAGGTTAAATAATTTTCATAAATTAAACAAAATAAAACATAAAATAAGTTAATTACAAAACAAAAAGTATTACAAAAACAATGACATAAATAACTAAGAAAACATGTACAAATATTAAAGAACAAAACAATGTATGCACATTTCTATCAAAGTTTGCCCTATCAAATAAAATAATGAAAATATTATAATTTTAAGAAAAGTTAAAAGATTCTGATAATTATGTTTCAAGCAATTAATGACAGATTTTCAGTATTTTACTATATTTCTACAGCATTTCTAAAACATTTCGTGCCATTTTGCATATTTTGACCTCCTTTGATAATTGTCAGTAATGTATAAATTGCTGCCTTTTAGTTACTTCACAAAGTTATACTTTTAGATATACATGAGAATTAGCACGAATTTTGAGGTGTGATGCTTTTAGATATGACCTTCTTTCAGCACCCCTCGTCTGTCCGGAGGATATGGAGCGTTTGTAGCGTCCAATAGCGTGTGTGACATCATTTTCACTGAAAAAAAAAGAAATTTATGAAACATGTAAAAATAACAAGCAAAAATGTTTTCATGGTTATCTAAACTTAATGAACAATTTTGCCAACTTTTTATAAGAGAGCTTTAACAAAAATTAAAAGTAAACATAAATACTGAACATTTAAAAAGCCGCTTTTAAACTCCAGTTTAGTATGGACTAAAGTATGTAATAGAGTTTACAAAAATCTTACTTTCATATGTTTCTTTTTACATATTCACGTGTTTCCGTCCCTCCGACCTTTGAGAGCATGTCCAACACTTTAACTACCTGAAAAGAAAATTATATTCTAACTTATGTATATATTCTACGTTTGAAATAGAACAGTTACGCAAGTCTTAAATATTTCATAGTTTTAAATTAAAGATTTAATGCCGAAATGTCTGGAACCAAAACGTCTTGGGTTATTTGGGACCGGAACGTTTTGGGTTATTTGGGACCGAAACGTCTTGGTCCGAAACGCTCGAAATCGAACAAATTCATTCTCAATTCTCAGATTTTAACTGACAAAAACATCACAGTTTAAGAAAAATATGAAAACTAAGCATTCTCTTTGGTACTACTGAAAGGCATATTATAAACTCTTCACAAGCAGAGTTAAAACATGTCAATTTTAAAAAGATTTATTATTAGACATTATCGCGAATTTGAGTGACATTTTACTTCAGCTGTTCAAATAATGATAATTAAATTTAAGAGTGCTTGCAATCATGCAATTATTTATCAAATACAAAGTAGAAATAAATCTAAATAAATTGAACTGACCTTTTTGTTCAAGAAAATCTATAATATTCACTTTATCAATGCATCCCGATTCCTGACCGACAGCCAAAACGTAACGCCTACAAATTTGAATTTCCATCCACGTGACTTTAGATTCGAATTATAGGTTAATTATGTTTTCTTTCCCTTTTCAGTCACTATGATTAAATGTTAAAGCACTATTAAAAAACTCGTGATTTTGATACATATAATGTACCACAAATGAAAATATTACAACGTTAAATGATTGGAACTTGTAAACAGATCTGTGGCTATAAATAGATTTCATAACAATAACACATGTAACTTGCCTATATACAGCGCCACCTATATGTTTTATTAGGTTGCAGCGCCGCGATCTTGGTCTGTATTTATATAACAACACTTCATTTGTAATCCAAATAACATTTGAAAAAAGTTTAAATGATTACAACAGCGAATAAATATTATTTTTTGTTATTTTTTTACCTACCGTCAGGACACTGACCAGAACCTGAGTTAGTACGACGTCAAAAAGAAACGTCTATTAGACATCGGTATTTTAACGTCAGATTTACGTCGTATTTTGGTTGCCGACGTCGTGACCAAAATCTAACATTAATCCGACGTTATTTTAACGTCATGTGTTTGCTGGGAAGTAACGCAAGTAAGTAACAATACTATCAGGTTTACACGCAAAGTTGCAAGTTATATGTAATGCTATTTAAAATTGTTCTACACAAAGAACAAAATCTGACTGATGATGAATATGCTTATAGTTAAATAAGCATAAAATGTAAACGTCATGTTAATGCGCGTGACAATTAGATTCTGCAGACATTTTCACAAAAAATCTTACGATTTATCTTAAGTTTTTCACTTACGATAATCGTAAGTTAAATCTTAAGTCATTTTCACAAAGCCACTCGTAAGTTAAAATTTTATCTTAAGATAAAAAATTCACTTACGATAAATCTTACGACAAAAACATCCCTAGCAACGTTCATTTGATAGTGATGTGCATGCTCTATATTTGATTCCGGTTTTAAAATCAAGTAATCAAGAGCTTGAAATATCTATTGAACACAATCAAATTTCATTAAGAACAAAAAAATGATTCAAACTGATATAATTTATATCTTGATTGAAGATAATTATATATATCTAAAAGATTCAGAAAGAAGGTCTACTATGTTATAAATAAAAAGGTACCACTAGTACATGCTGGCAATGAAATCGAACTCACCAATTGTACAAATTATAAGTTTTCAATAATACTAGTCTACAGTATAGTTCACATTATTTTAAACTATTCATAACCCTCTCCATCGTGACGTCATCAAGTCATGACGTCACAAATGTATATGTTGAAAAATAATTATACCTCAATTTGTGTTATTTATAGCATATTGTTTGCTTAATATTTAGTTGTCCTCCAACTTTTTGTTTGTTTTTATTCAGTTTAGGTAAGAGATACATGATATTTTACCCTTAAGAGAGAAAAAAATTACACTTACGAACGGGGAAGACCTATCGTAAAGTTACGACAGATTTTGCACTTAAGATTTTCTTAAGATTTTTTGTGAAAAGGAAATTTATCGTAAGATTTCTCTTACGACAAAAAATTGTCGTAAGATTTTTTGTGAAAATGTCTGCAGGATTTTCATTCTAAATTGTGATTTTTGTTTATCAAACTTTATAGAAATTTATGATACGGCAATTCCAGAAAAATATATACCTTTTCAAAGTCTCTCTTTTGAGGACAGAAGAACCTATTCGTCACCTTCACGAGTTTCAGTGTTTGTCAGTTACTCTTTACAAAAAAATAGACTGAAAACATTACCTTAAGCCTTTTTACACCACTCGCGTTATAGTGTAATCCTTTCCGTAGCATTGTTTTATTTTAACTCTTTCTCTCATTGAGAGCAAATTTATTTCTTATCAATTTCGCCATTGTGAAATAGAATAAATCACATTTTACTACATAGGATAAGATGAGCAATACTTTAAACATCTTCAAAACGAAACCAAAATATTATTTTTCGGTGCACTATTGCAATACAAGTAAGTGTTATTGCTTTAAGGAACAATCAGTTTTTTTCACAATCTCTTTGTGAAAGATCAACAATGAAACAGTAAATTGTAGAAAGAGAACGGTAGGCATGTTGCTTTGCATTTGCAACAGATTCATAATTCTGCTTTAAACTGTAGTCCCTTTTTTCGACTTGGAACTGGTGCCAGAATTGACAATTGAAGAAAATGGCAAGATTTACGCCATAAATAATAACCATATAAACATATTAAGGTAGGATTTTGCTGTCTGTACCCCCGATTGATGTAAACCTGACCTATTAATCATGGCGTAGACCAAATAACGCCAGAAAACGAAATTAGCTTGCAACCGAAGCCCGCTCTAATACAAGCAACTTCCAAGGTTATGCAAAGTGTTTGATAAAACGGCTTATAAACTGACGAAGATCCAATATTCTGTGGAAAGCTTATATTTTTCCCCGTAGACTGGTGCATATCCCAAAGATATTGATACAGAAATAAAATATTTACGGCTATTTTCTTTTCCGAATCGAGCAATATTTGTCTTGGAAATGATGCCAAAAATGACGTCAATGTCACGTGGTATGGCCACACTGAGTCTGGACTGTAGCAGAATTTACAATCTGACCTGTGTGTTATCAGGTCTGTGGTGTTAAATCATAGTAGAGTGGTTACTAGAGGCAGTATTTATTTATTGATCCTGTTGATAAGAAATTTTCAGGGATATTACTCATTTAATTATATTACATTAAAAAGCTTAATATATGAGTTTAGTTCATACCCAAATTTAACACAGTGAAATATATTCTATGCAAAAGTCATCACAACATCATTATATAATATGTTTTAAGTTTTAGTTTTGTTGTGGAGTTTTTTTCATCAATTAATGATTATGTATGTTTATGTTTGTACAAACAATATTTTAGTTTTGAAAATTAACAATGAATAAAAGCAGCAAAGTAATTGTTGATCACTTAATAATCAATTTATTATATACCTGTCATCTGCAGAAATTTCTCCAAATTCAGAAATCTGTCTAGTAAAATGTTCTAAGTTCAATTTCTGGTTAACAAATAAGTCTAAGTACATAATTCCTGTTAACAAATAACTGACAAAATTCTAAGTCCTAAAACCCGTCTAAATTATTGCTCATCCCATATTTTCCGCCTAAGCCTTAGGCGGAATATGAAATTGCTTAGCAGGATTTTTTACAAAATTCCGTGTCCGTCTTAAATTAGCAGGAAAATCTTATATACACGGAAATTTTAAGCGTTTTCCTGCTTATATTAGGCGGAATCCTGCTATCTTTTTCGTACGGGAAGAATTGACAAAAATTGATTACAACGCAGACGGCGGTGGATTCGATTGCAACGCAGTGCGGTGGGCCCGATATCATTTATGTCTTTTTTTAACGTTAAAGTCACAGATAAACGCCTAAAATACAAATGAAATATATATTTGTTAATCGTAACACATAAAGTTGTTATATATATATCAATGAAAGTAAATATACGCTTTTTTGAAAACAAAATGACTCTCAGATATGCTGTATATAAATGCGCTTTGAACCAGCCTTGCTATAATCGGAGTCATTCGGGATAATGCGGGTTCTCACATTCATAGCGCACCGCATTTAAATACGACAGAGCTGAGTGCTGAGAGCTGAATTTGTTGAAATATTTTGTAAATAAATAAAACGGCGATAGTTTAAATTTTTTCACATAGTGTGTTTGTATATTGAAGA